CTACGAGCTAAATGCACCGTCTTCATCGGGTTCTCTACCTCGTAAGTAAATGTTGAGACCACCTTGCAGTCCTTGTCTACTGTAGTCACCTCAACGCTCCAGTTGTGAAGTTTTGAAGCGGCATAAATCTCCAACTCTCCTGGATCTGTGTCTCCGTTTTGAATATTCTCCAGATACTGCGCGCCAATGAGACCGTCGAGATCGTCCAGGGTTTTATGTAGTTCACCAGCTCGTAAACAAAGTCGTCTATAGCAGTTGATGTGCCAAAGAGTAAACAGTAGAACAAGCTTGGCCTCTCGTTCTCGGGCAGGTACCAGGAAGGAGCGGATACGCAGAGCTGCTCTCGATCATCCGCTTCATTAAGGAGATATTGATACGATGCGTGTCAGTTCTCCATGTCAAGATCTGGTTCCAGAAGGTCTCTTAACCTTAGCTCACAATTTGTCCTACGGGTAGGACAATTGTCCTACCGGTGGGACAGAGTTTGCAAACGTGTACGTCATAACAAAACAATTGTTATTGTGCTGTGATTGGTTCATTTCATAAACGAAGGACAGCTATCGCTTCCGCCACTCGAATCACAGCAAGCGGGGACATAATGGCGGCGCCACTACTACCGGGAGATCGTGTAGAGGGAAAGTCTAAGAAGCTCGCTGGGCGGCGTGGGGTCGTGCTCTTGGTCAGCAAGGAGTCTAGAATGCGCTCCTACAAGGTCCAATGGGACTCAGGGGTTGTAGAGAGCGTCTCAGCTCGCTCAATACGCCGCGAAGTGGGGGTAGCTGCGTGGACACCACCCGATCTCGCCCAAGTAGCTCGTCTGGAGGAAGGTGATGCATGTGTTGACGTGGCAGACTCCAGCTCAGACATGAGCTTCAGTAGCAGCTCGTCGGATGGAGAGAGCGGGAGTGATGCTAGTAGAACCACCGCTGTTGTTGGTGGCGGTTGTGAAGCCCAGCGAGCCGAGACTGAGAGAGACGAAAGTGTGTACGCCCACGGAAGGAAATGGGTACATCGTGATGCTGTGTATATTGACCCCGCAGATTTCGTTCCTGCGCGTAAGGCAGCACTTCACTGGCCGCCGCATTTGCAACTGGGTGAACGTTCGTTCGCATCTTACTTCTATCTCATGTACCCGATGGGATCTTTGCAAACTACGATACAAGAAACGAATAAGTTGCTGATGGAGAGACGCCATGGAGTTATTGGTCGAGGCGAATTCTTTCGTTGGATTGGCATCAGGTTGGCTATGACTCTAGAACCCCGACGTGGGCCCATGACGGTATATTGGAACTCGTCTGTGCCAGAAGGAACCGTGGGAACCGCTGCTAATTATGGCCAACTCTACGGAATGACTTGCCGAACTTTTCAGAATATTCAAGGTGCGCTTCGGTTTGCGCCGAGTCAAGGACCAGCTGAGGACCCTTGGCGGGCAGTTAGACTTCTAATTGTTGCTTTTAATGAGCAACGGAAAAAAGTCATTTCTCCTGGCGCAGTGTTATGCGTGGATGAGTGTATGAGCTCTTGGCAAGGAAGGGAGGAAAAGTATACACATGACGGAATTCCTCATCTTACCAAGATCCAGCGGAAACCAGAGGGTGTTGGGGCGGAGCTAAAATCTATTGCTGATGGCGACACTGGAATTTTGCTAGGTCTAGATCTAATGGAAGGTGCACATCGGCAACGTCAAAAAGCATACAATGCTGACTTCGGGGAGGGCACTGCTGTTGTCCTACGACTTGCTCAACCGTATGCTGGCAGTGGCCGCACCGTCGTCGCCGATAGTGCCTTTTCGTCTGTAAAGACACTAGTCCAGCTTAATTCAATGATGGGGTTGTATTTCATGGGTATGGTTAAAACTGCGACCAAAGAATATCCTATGGCCCATCTCAAAAGTTGGTCTAGTGTTCCGCGCCCTCGTGGCAGCCACACAGTCATGGAGAGTCGCTGCCCGAATGGGTCGAAAATGTACGCGCTTTGCTGGAATGATCGAAAGCCCAAGACGATAATATCTAACAGAGGAACCACGTTACCTGGTTCTGATAGCGTGCGTGTTCGACATCGACGCGTTGCTACCGGTGGCGAAATTCGCACAGAGCGCTACGAAAAAAGAATACCTCGACCATACATGGTGGAGCTTTTCTTTCGGCATTTTTCAACAATTGACGTGCACGACCATTATCGACAAGGGTCACTAGAGATGGAGCGTCAATGGCTTACGCATTCGTGGGCGCACAGAATATTTGCCACGACTCTCGGGATGGTTATTGTGGATTCCTATCTTGCTTACCAGCATGAGACCAAGAGCAACAATATCGTTGCCTGCTCTACGGTTGCGTTTGGCGAATTTGCTTCCCGATTAGCACACCAGTTGATTTTTAACGACTATCTAACAGGCAGGGTAAGGAGAGATGGTAATGTGGATGGCGATATGGACGACGCCAGCGTCCCTGTCCACTCGCTTCTAGCACTAGGAGATCGCCCTCGATACAAACGGCTCAAGAAGACACCCCAGCGAGCACAACGACGATGCAAGATATGCAAGATGAAGGCATCGTTTTACTGTGCCACATGCTCAGACGGCAATGAAGATTCCTACTTTGCACTCTGTGGAACAATGACAGGTAGAACGTGTTATCATCAGCACTTAGAAGCTTCACAAGCTCGCTAGAAGGTAATACAGAACACATTTCACTTGGAAATTGTATGTAACCATCACTCTTGACCTTGTCCTACCGGTAGGACTTTTGGGCGTCCTACCGGTGGGATATTTGTCAGGCGAACTAAGGTTAAGGGCCGATGAAGCTTGTCTTGCTTAAAGCTTGACTTTGGTACAATCCCGCACAGTGTAAATGCCTTCTTGCTTGACGAGTTGCTACCCAGTCCAGCGTCCATTCCGCGACAGTTTTGTAATGGGGGATCTTGGGATTTCCAGCAGCGGTTTGCATAGCCGGATCGATCAACGCTCTGCTAATGTAAGCATCATACTTGTTCCGGTAGAACGATTGATAACTACGATTGACAGCTACGTCAAGTGGCTGTAATATACTGGTGAGGTTGGGCGGTACCACCACGACAAAGATGTTGTAGCGCTCCAATAGTGTAGACTCTGCCAAAGCTACGTGACACGCGTAAGAATCGATCAAATAGAGCACCGGCTCCCCAAAGAATTGGGTCTCCTTCCTTAAACACACCACCGCTTTAGAGAAGCGCAGCAGGATATCTTCGTTCCACATGCCAGTACTATTCACATCTACCAGAACACCATCAGGGCACTCCGGACGATTCTTTAGTTTTGAAAAGAGAAGGTGGGGCTTCAGGATGATTCCAGAGGCTGTAATGGCAAACGTAGCAGTGAAGCGCTTATGACTTGTCCCTCCCTTTTTTGAAAGTACCTCACGGGATCCACGAGTCGTGATGGTCGTCTTAGGCTCGGTTTCAAAGTACCTTGGTACCTGGTTCATGTTAACGA